CTCGTTGTTTGTTGATAAATCTCATGTCCTTAGAGTCCAGGCGTACTTTGTTATCGATGTGCTTTGTCTTTGACATAATTGTAGGCTCTATAGATTGCTCGCACCTCCTTATGAAAATTCGTTTTAATGTTCCCTAACGTATTCTTCGTTGTAATGAATTGTTTTTTCTGGGTGTTGTTAAAACTGTTTATGGTATGAATGCTCCTTTAAGGAGGACTCTCTCCCAATTTAATGCTTATTCTTCATCTTTAGACTTCGATTTTTCTTACTCAAAGTTTACTGTTAAGAATTTACTCATAAGGCACTTGTCATAAGGGTTTCCCTTATTCTATGTATATATTTGTCATATAGTCTGTAAGCGTCCTGTTTGTGGATAATAATAATAATAAATAAATAAATAATAAATAAATATAAACCAAATTTTTCATACTGCATATCCCTGGAAGTGTTCATGGTATAGTTCGGGAACTTGGTACGGAGATATACGCAATCAACTCTTGAGGAAAAACTGGAACTATTGGAAAATCGGTTTTAATTTTTACAACGCGCTTTTTTTCTAAGTGTGGAATATAGAATTTCCTTCTTCAAGATTTTACATCTGAATCAAAACTCAAAAACTGCCATGAAATACAAAATGTATATCATCTGTATTTGAACATAAATAAACATCGTGAAGTGAATTGCATAATACAGTGAATCAACTAACGAATGGGCTCAAACGCTCCAGTCTTGAAAGTTTTCAATGTGATACGGGTGGTAGTCGCAGAGGAAAAGGAAGGCTTGGACACATTCAAAAAAAGAAGGCTACAATTTCTAGGTTTTGACATTTTGTAGTAATAAATAAAGCATTTTTTATCAGACTAAAAACCGAACGATTTCAATGAAACTTTACCTTTCCATACATTCTGTTGATATACTCGTATCTACATAGTATGTATGATCCAAATATTTTCTAAAAAAAAAATAAGATTTACTAATAATTGGCCCAAAGTCCGCTTTTAACAAAACCATTTTGGAAAGTTAGAATAAATCATCAGTCAATCAATATAAACGAATAATCAATGCCACATGAATACGGAAACTGCTGAATACATGAATTCGTAGCTTTCCCGGCGTTTTCACTTGAGCGAGAAATACCAAGAACTGGGATTCAGGAGTCACTAAATATACATATGAAAAATGGTCAGTAGTCTGGGACGGATTTAGCTTTGTCTGTTATAGGATCAAGTTTCGGATCCATGCATGTATGCCAGTGATTTTGCAGGCTTTAGTCTGTTTTGGGGACGGTCTTAGTTTATGTAGTCATAATCTAACATTTTTCTACTAAGATACTTGTATAATTTTTTTCTATTTTTGTTTCATGAATACAAAAAAAAAACACCCGAAGATTTCTTTGATGTACAGCTATCTAATCTCTGAATGTTCAATAAGCACCTTTCACGCAGCGATAGACCTCGAACAAAAATTGCGAGTGGTTGTTGAATTACGAAGGGTAATTTTTTACCAGCAAGTGGCAATAATAATAAAAATAACGATACCAGCAATAAAGATGATTTGAGTGTCTGCGCTGGGTTTTTTATGCATCTCCGAGTTAGCATACAGCTTTCCATCCAACCACCCTCAATACCAAAGCTACCACCCCATATTTTATTTGCTTACATTCGCGTATACACACGCATGTGTGGAAACATCCGTCAGCCAAATAAATACATGCTGAGGCTCATCAAATTTGCGTAGGCAAAGCTGTCCACGGAAATCGGTTACATTCGCCATGCATAATATGTATGTATGTATGTAGAAAGGAATAAAAATTGAAATGAATATTTGTTGCTGTGCAATCGTAATAAAATGAAAGAGAACTGAATTTGAGCTTTGGACTTCTTCCATTTTTCGGTTCTGTTGTTATGAGTATGTATGTGGAATGCAAATTGCATAAAAATGGAATTGCTTGAAACTTCCCACCTTTATCGATCGACAAGACTCCACCAATTTTTATAAAAGATCTGGAGTTTTTACATATGGAAATAACTAAAACCACTTACATATATAGTTAGTTCCAATCAATCAAATTAAATACTTGATTTTAAAATACGA